CCATCGTCAAAGTTTCGGGGCCAGATAATAACTCATGACTCTCGGATTTGGTGCGCTAATGATGAAGAGGCAATGATCAGCTCACTCAGTTGGCCCATTTCAGCCGTACGCCAACTCACATGCTGTGTCATGACCCTTCATCTATGCCAGAGTTGCTTATCAGTATGTTCAGCAAGTTGTGGTACCCCGAGATCTTGGTATGACAACTAAGGTTGTATATCCAATCACTTCCGAGTCCGGCACGCGTCGTGACAGGTACAAATCCTCGCTACGCGAGCCTAAACGAGAACAAGCTATACTGTAATCGAACTGTTTGCAGTCAATCTGACAACAGTGACATTGTGACCAATCTTTATGGGGCAGAGAAGGAGTGGCATGGGTACACAGCTCGTTGTTACCACGCAATGGCGCACCCCGCCTGTTCACACTTTCGCTTATACCATTTGTCACCACATCGCGTCTACTGAGTCATCTCATATCTGCGCGGGTGGTGGCACGATAGGAGTCTTGGCGATGTGCTATCTCAGGAAGGATGCCCTTCTCAACGACACCCGATGTGCCAAGCATCGCAATGGCTTGGGCACTTGGGTGTGTATGCAATGAGGAATATTGCTCATTAGTACGCCGTTTCGATTAGGATACTGTAGAGCAGTCAAGAGCCATACATTGTCTCCAACTTCTCCAACTCCCGGAAACGCTGATGCTATCCAGCGCTTGGCACTGCATGCCATCTACTCTCCGCCGCATTGCAATGCAGTCTATTCCAGCCCTACATTATCTCCTCAAACGCTCACCCGTTCATGTCTTGGCTTATTGCCAAATCCTCAGATGTCCGCTAATACTACGGTACAGGCCGTCAAACTGCCGCCACCAATCGCGCCCTCCAGCCAGCCTCTTCTTTAAGATACCGATGGGTGAGCACGAACGGGTAATCACGCGAACAAATCTCGAACCCTGCCTCAAACAGCGGACTAAACGGTAACAGTAAGCCTCGCTTCCGATCTGCGCGCGTCAGCATCGTCCCGCGCATCTACTCAGCGACACATCACGTACTTGCATCACATGCATGCTAGCAGCTTAATTTTCCGTTCGATTTGTCTTGCTTTGTTTTTGTTTATTGGAATCGCTTGTTTCTTCCCATATGGTGGAGTCCATGACGGCGCAGAAGCCCTTTGCAGCATAGTCTGTTGGATGCGTAGGGCGTAATGTCGACACGCATCTTGTGACACCTGTTCACGTCTAGTCTTGCAATAGGGCAATCTCACGATCCTGCAGCCACAATGCTGCTAGTTCATAGTGCGTCGGCTGCTTTAGTCGGTTCAGGCGTCCCAGGGAAAAGCTTTTGCGAGAGTGGACCTAGGGACCGATCCTACGACCTGGGTTAATGTCAGCGTAAGCACTTGACTGAGTGCAGTGCTTCGCGAACTCAGTTCCCGGTGATGTTAAAACATTTCCCTGTTGGTCTTGATTGATATTGAAGTATGTGGGATGCCGTGTTATGCGGTTGCATGTCTTGTGAGGTCTAGTATCGGAGATCAAGACGTGCATGCGAGACTGAGATGTGGATCTCGGGACGGGTGACAATGTATAGTTACGTGTAATATATTAACTTAAGAAATGCTGGTGTTAGCGTCGCACGTCATGCAATTACGAAGTCGCAGTGGACGAAACTTAGTAGTATGCCTTTCAACAACAGTGGCACTGGCAATAAGGACTCGAATCAGGGCGTCTTATCTGGCATGCTATATAGTAAAGCTATAGCGCTGATTGGAGACTAGTAAAAGCACATCTTATCTGGCGGACGAAGACACTGAAACGGATTACTTATCTTCCCGTTGTCCTTCTTCACACTATCCTCAAAATGTGCCATACACATTTCCACAAGCCCTATCCGAGAGCCCAGGAACTTAAATTTACGCAAAATATCATGAGGTAGTGATCCATCTTTCAGTGATGGGTTGGCTCCGAGAGGCGGTCGTTGGCGCTGATTGTCGTTGAAACCGAGGTTTTGAGGTCGCTGTTTGTCGTTGATTAAGATCTTGACTCTGAGACTCGGCCATCATTCTTGGTACTGATATGAGTGATGCGACTGTTTGCGGTGAGTACTGCAAATTCTCATTTGTAGAATTCAATCGCTGTTGATGTTTTGAGGCTTTTGATGCCTGGAGAAATGTAGTAGGGAGAGGATGCGGGAAAAGCACAGCGATGTGGCCCTCTCATAATCGTCCTCTCCTCTGGTTCATAAATTAAGCGTGATGTGATACCTTAGTCAAGCCCACTCTATCCTTAATACAGCGATAACACAAAGACGAGCCACTCGAAATTCCAAAACTCATACCTTGCCCACAAGGTGAGTCCATCTCAAAAGTAGCTATGGCGAATATTAGACTTAGATGTAGGACACATCGAAACTTACACAAGCATCATTACTCAAGAACCTGACGGAACCCTCAATCAAGACGTAGCCATTCCTTGAGTCAATGATACTCATGCCATACCTTACATGCACAATCCGTCCCCCTGGAACCTATATTGCAAGAGCAAGTCTGAAGTGATAAGCGACGTCGAATTCGCCAATCCGCACTTCCTACTAACAAGAGAAAACCCTTCGAAACACCACATCCTCTACAACATTTGCTATACACCTCCACCCACCACCCACACCACCCACCACCCACACCACCCCAGCACTCCCGAGGTCCTTCCCTTACTCCCTTACTCCCCTACCACTCCCTCCCTCCAAACCACCTACCCACCACTTAACCTCATCTCCCCCGAAACACCCTCCCCCCACCCCTCGCATAACCCGTCCCGCTCAATCCCGTCCTGTCAGAGAAAACCGAACATCCGAAACAAGGCATGATCCGTGCTCCTTTTTTCAGAGAAATTACCAACGAAGCGTGGGATGTCGCGAGAGGGGAACCGAGCCATGGATGGAGACAGCGTAAGCACTAACGAGCCGCACGTGTCAGGTTCCGTCTGAACGCGTGTGCTTTTGGTCCGTGTAGAGAGGGAAATACGCGTGTCTGGGTCGATGATGGGTTTTTGTGTGGGGTGGGAGGTAGAGTTTGTGAGATGGGTTGGGTGTTGAAAGGTATTGTACTAGCGCAGTAGAATCATGTGAAGAAACTGGGGGGTTCTTGCTCTTGATGATGGCATGGGTTGAGGCAAGATAACTCAGGTGAGAGCTTGGGCGGAGTTCATGAAGCTACCACTAATGTATCTTCGATATCTTGGCTTCCTGTTTCAGCGTAGAATCAAAGAGAGAGCGAATTCTAGAACGCAGATGCAGGATCATTTGCCCTTCCAAGTTGCTATGCACAAGCTCGTTGGACAAATATACATACGCGAGCAGATGATAGCATAAATTCAGCTTGCTGTATACTCCCTTTACATTGACGATGGAGTGCCGATATCCAGGAGGCATACTCGCTCTTTCAATGTGGTATCACGCGAGCATCTCCTCGCTGACAGGCCGCGCACGCCTCTGCCCACATATTCTGATTTTTGGGTACGTGCTTCAGATCTTGGCGAGTATCGATCCGCCACATACAGCTGACATGAAATCATGTAACATCGTGTCGATGAAGAGAGTCAGTGTCGGCGTAGCTGATGTACTGTGAAAAGGGGGTAACGAGTGTTGATGGTGGTGGTGGTGGCGTGCCAAGGCCAAGTGCTGAACGCCGACTGACAGCTGAACTTGCTTTGCCCCTTGGCAGTGCGCCAGCAGGAAAATTCTTTCGAATTACTGATGATGTCAGATAAACTGAATCCGCCGTACGGGCTCGCGGCTCAAACGGGTATGAAAAAAACCCCGGGAATAACGATCCCGCTTGCCAAGACTATGGTTCTAGTGTTGCATTCGGCCTCGCCGGCGAGGCTTCAGGTCAATGAGACGGTGGAAAGATTTTCTTCATGCATTGGCGTGACACACATGCTGTATAGTAGGTAAAAAGACTGTTTGGACGTCTTCGCTTGAAACAATAATCCTGGACTTCCTGTCCTATCAACGCCCGCTGAATCGATAAAACATCCTTGAAATGCAACAGATGTGCCGCTCTGAGTGGCACCAGAAATGTCATGGGCCGCGTAGATATATCTCTAATGTGTAAGACCGAATGCCGTCATCAGTGTCGTTATACCAAAGTGCCCCGGTTTCGCCGCCGAGGCAAAAGAAATTGCGAAGCAGTCTGCGGGCGTGAAAACTTTTCGTAAAAAGGAGGCAATGTCTGAGTGCCGCTCTATGGGACGAATACTAATGTGAAGATAGTGCTAGTGTCGGCTCGACCGGGGGATGTTGCTGAAGGGTCCGGTTCGACAGGTAAAAGCTGCTCGGATAAGCCACAGGGTTCGTTGCTACGGATCTTGAATAATCTCCAACATCCGGCAGCGCTGTACATGGCTCCAGGCCAGTAGTATCAAGTTTTTCGAAATCATGCCTCGTCGTGTGCTTCGTTAATAACACCTGGCTTGGATGCTAGGCTGGAGGGGCCGGATATAGAGCCCATCGAGCCAACGCGCTCTTGTGGCGGGGGCTCGTCTCTCATGCAGGCGTTCTCTAGCATGTTGGTCCATTTCCCACTAGTTCCAGCATGACTATGCTTCAAGTGCTGTCTGAAATGGTCTGCGCGGAAGAATTTCTTGGCTTGGTTGCATTCACCAAACTTGTGCACGTGATTAAGATGCTCAGTTCGCGCTTCCCAGTCGGCGGGGTTAGAAAACTCTTCACCGCAATACCCACACACATCTGCCACGGCTGGACGAGTAGGTGAGGGATGGAAAGCTGCCTCGATCTTGTCGAGAGTGGCGCACGACCAAGAATGACGGCGTAGATGAAGGGAATTCTGATGGCGCTCCGCCTCGTTCTTATTCTTGAAGCGATTGGAACAATACAGGCAAGTGTACTGCTTCTCCAGTTCGTGTGCTCTATTGCCAGGGTCAGCGTGGTTATTCAAGGGTGGGCAGACCAAATGGCGGTGGGCAAGCGAGGATCCATGCACTTACCGTAACTCATCTTCACTGTCGAATTTCTTGGGTTTCTTAGGGCAGCATTCGCAAATATAAGCCCCCGGTATGCGGCTTGCGATTGAATTCTGACGTGAGTGTAGCATGCTCTCCGTAGACATTTTTCGTATCTGCGGATGCTCGGCCTCTGAGAAACCCCGTTGATGCGGAGGTCGCGACAACGACCCGCGGGGACTAGGGTCCAACGATCTATTAGCTGCATATGGCGAGACTGCGCCTAACTCTGTTTCGCCCAAAGGCGACAACGCACTGGGCGATAGGCGCTGATCTCCGCAATAACTTGCCATGCTACTTGGAGCGGTTGAAAAGCCAAATGAGGAGCCAATCGAGCCACTACGTTGACTTGCGGACCCAGCGGAGGACAGTGAGTTTTGGGTTGACTGAAAACGCGAAGCTGTGCAGTTCCGATTGACGAGCATTTGCTGGGAGCGACGGTGGTAGAGGTCGTTATGGCCAGTCGGAATGGGACGGTCATCGCGCGCGGCTTCAGAGGGCGGGGACGAGGCCCGCCGTTTCAGGCCACCCTTTGGGCCTAACTGATAGTCCTCTGACTCGGCAGGGCTGCGCTCGTTGATGTTCAAATCCCGCATTCCATTCTCTTCCATGCCAACAAACTCAGGATCCGAGAATATGCTATGATCGTAGCTACCACGGTGTTGTGAAGAAGTTTCGTCCAAAGGACCTGGCGTTGAGATGCTGCCGTAACGTGATCTGTATGAATCCGCCGAGTCGAAGCCGGGACTTCGCCAGCCGCTGTAGCCAGGTGATGTAGCCGGTACAGTCAGTGGCTTCAGTTGGCCGTTGAGCTTATGTGAAGAAGCGTGTGTATCGGCGGCGGGGTCTTGGGAGTTGCCAGAGGGGAGTGGTGGTGCAGTCGTCCGTGTGGGTGTATTCGGGCCGCCAATCTTCGAAAGCAGTTGCTTATCGTAGGCTTGCGATGAGTTCTGGAGAGCTTTCTGACCGAGTTGTCGCTCACTCGTAAACCTGTCGCTCATTGTTAGTTACTCAACTGGCACGCAAGACGACTGAAATGAAAAAGCCAGCCATTTGTATGCACAAGGGATACAAGCAACCCTTGACAAGTTCTGGACCAATCGACAAGCGTGGGAATCCTCCAAAAGACCGGGATCTTCCAGAGAAATGACAACACCGCATCTTAACCAAAGACACTCAAGTGCTGCAGGGCCTTGCAAGAGCCCTGATAGTACTTGCTCTATGATATGAGGGGAGATGTAATAGCGTGTTCCGTACCTGTGGTTCCCGAGAGAGGGCCGAGCTTTGCTACTACGGTCGTCTTCGCTGGTGCTGTGTTCGCTCATACCGTCGATGGATCTTGAGAGGGACGGTTCGCGGCCGTGGTTTAACATATCGAGCGAAGGCTCCCGCGGGTGGCCGCCTGTGGCTCCACCGTATAAGCTCGAGCCAGGTTTAACTGTCGCGAGCCGATTTCCGCCAAAGCCGGTATCCCTTGGGCTGTTCGTGTTACCCCATTGCCAACCAGGGTCTTGACCACCTCTGACTTCGATGTGACGTGGAGGAGGCAAGGGAGGTGGTGGCTGTTCGCGTGCCTGTAAAAACGGTACAGTCAGTGAGGGATTCATATGACGTATTGTGTCTCGGATGAGGCTGAAGTGCTTTGCGACTCAATCAGGAGCTATTTCTGGCGTGATGAAGCCACAAAGTGCTCTAGACCTCTCCGTTGTATCCAATAGCTGGAGCACACGCTGACATACTCTCGGGATGGCCATTGCGACAGCCGGGGTTGGTATCGACGGTCGGCGGTGGTGTGGTAGTTGGTAGTGGTGGGATTCACGCTGAGAATCATATACGCGAATACTCGGTGTGGAGGACATGGCTCGCGTGGAAGATGAGGTCGCCGGGAGCCCGCCACTAAGGTGCAGCTGAAGCGTACTCGCGCAGCACGCGAGCAGCGCAAATGTGGCGAGCGCGACGAGCAAGAGTGAGTATGCTCGCTACTGGATAGTGTATGCAAGCACGGACCCTGGAGTAGAATGGTTAGCAGGACTGTACACGGACTGGCCGAAACAGGCAGGGAATGGGAGCAGGAGGGCGGGCAGAGGCAGCTGAGCTCGCGCGATTGCGTACTAACATGCAACGTACCTGGGCGGTCGGTCGAGGGGACGTACGCGTCGTTGGGATGGCTTCTCGACGGCGAGGCTTACAAAAGCGAAAGCGGGGGCGCTAGCGCTTGCGGCTGTTGAAAGTTCAGCCCTACGAGGGAGGAGGGTCCTTCAGCTGAACGGGAGGGTTCTGGCCAGCACCGCCACACAGTGATATTGCTTCTTTTCACCCGAAAGCAGTCGTCATATGACCAGTCTGGTGCGAGCAATGCAGCGAAGAGTCGTCAGGGCCCCGGAAGCGCACAGTTCCTGCTACACGGCAGCGAACAAGATGGCGCGGGAATGCGGTAGGGTCCCTAGCGTCGAGGCGAGTGGAGTAGGATGGAAAAGGAAGCGTGCTCGGCCGCCGGCGTCGTCTGTTCCGTCGCGGCGATGTTTGTGCAGAACAGAGGCGCCGCTGGACAGCAGCAGCAGCAGTTGGCAGACGGAGCAGAAGAAACGCCCTCCACCGGGGAGTGCGGTTAGCATAAAGCATACGCTCGAATGTCGGTGATTGGCCCTGTCTGGTTGCTCCTGGCACGGAGCGCAGTGGAGCTCCAGCAGGGGTGAGATGCAACCCTTAGGCGGTCGGAGGAGGGCTCTCGCTTTCGAGAAGCTTCAAGGTCCACGCCGCGACGCTCGTCTCGTGCATAGGGCTTGCCCTTAGCGCCTCGACGTCGACTCGTAGATTGCAGTGACGGGCGACGACTACCAGCAGCGTGGGAACACTCAATCGGGGATTGGCGCCCGCTCGTCCAGCATGGCCAGTATCATTACGCGCACCAAGTAGAGCCGCCGTGCGTAGACGTCAGGCCGGTGCAACGGTGAGAGGGCTGGTAGGGCAGGCGCAGAGGCTGCCGACGGCGCAGGCCCGCTGGCTGACGAGGGCAGCATGCCTGGAATCTGACCAGACTGTCCAACATGCAGACGTTGCGCTTCGCCTCGATGGGCATGGGGGACTGCGGTGCAGACGGCACAGCGTCAGATTCAACCGTGTGGGTTAGACTCGACGGCGGGTAGCGGGAGGCCAGTGCACGGATGCTGAGCAGTTCCAACAGCGTAAGCCCAGAGCAGCCTTACACTCGACCCTCTGGGCATCAGTCAGGCTGAGACGGCTGTCACCCACCGCACGCTGATCTGCTGATCCGTCGTCCATGGCCTGCCTCCATCACTGCGGGGCGTACACACTATGCACTCTGTCTGGTGCACCATGGTATTTTTGGTACCTGCACTCGTCGTACATACAGGCCGAGAACGGCACCCTCTATCTGGGGCCCTATCTCGATTGGCATCGCCTGCACTGTCCCTGCTCGCTGCTGCATCCAGGGTACCTCGTGCTGTCACGCGCATTACTCCGGGGTATCGGCCCCAAGCCGAACCTACTATTGCAGTCGGAGGGCGACAGTGGTACCTCGTAGCATTCACCGGCGAGTGGGTCCTGCTCTGTGGTCAGGTAAGCGGCGCTCCAGCTGCTTTGAGACAGCGCGAACCAGCAACGCGTGCGTGATGTCAGCGACTCTGTAACCCTCGTCGGCGACATGGAATATCAAATTCGCAACTACCGCTCCTCTACCCGTTTGCCAGAGGAGTCTGATGCGATTCGCCGAGATGCGGGACGAGGCGGCACCGCCAGCCTTGCGAGCAGCCGGGGAGTACAAGCAATTCGCTATTTCTGTCTTTCGGTAGCGGCTGCAATATTGCCTGTCTCACGATGCCAGCAACACCACACCACCGACACGAGACAAAACATGGCATTCATTGACCGCTGTCCAGCATTCCGGCTGCTCGGGCAACTCAAATACGCTGGGGGCGCAGCAACAACGGTCTTAGCCCTTCATAGAACTGGAATTTCTCGATTCGAGCTATAGACTCATCCATGTTAATGGTATGCAGTCCCTGATCCACTGTGTGTAGCCCCGCGGTCTTGCGGAAAATACCGCTGACTGCAACGACGCATGACTCTCTCCATGACAGTTCTTATTGCAAAGGGCTTCACTAAAGACTGTGAACTACGGGTCAGTACGGGCAAGGCGTGGAACATAGTCCATGCACCTATAAGGCTACGAACTACTAGCTCGGCAACATAATTGAAGCTGGTGGTGTGTTCACTGCGATGCTTGGCCGTGCCCTTTGACATGCAACTTTGGAAACTCATACATTGATGCAAGGATTTTGAAAGTAAACACACCATGTAGCAGTCAATCGAGCGTGTTGCAGCATCTCCAAATTTAACAAACCACTTATCTGATGCAATTACGGGTGGTCCGCAATTTTGGCGGGCACGCGCGATCAGAAACCCAGGACCCTCGGCCAAAATTAGACCCTCTTCTCGCACACCTCCAACAACTCGCGCCTCTTCCAAGTTTATTGATCGTCATACCCTCATCTCCGGCGTCCGATTGTTCTCGGAGCCCTTCCTTTGCCTATCATGGCGCTCATCGACAGAGTGCCCGGGGACCTGAACCTGTACATTGGTGGGTACGTAATGTCGACGGTCGACCATCGTTTCGCATCTACCCCATGGCCCAGGTCTGGGGTCACCAGACTACTGTCTAACCAGTGTTGCGTAGCATGTTCACGCTGCGACGGCGCGAAGCCCTCCAGCAAGCCAATATCACGCACGTCTTGTCGGTATTGCGTACACCACTAGATCAAGACTTGTTTGGCCCCTTCAAGCACATGGTTGTCGAGGTCGACGATGTCGACGACGAGAATCTATTGGAGCATTTCCCTGCTACAAACCGCTTCATCCAGGAGGGGCTCCAGGGAGGTGGCGGAGTCTTGGTGCATTGGTAAGTCAACATCCCGGTCGAGCTGAATGAAGCCTTGCACTTGCATATTCCAACAACTCTGGATCGCCGCCGACGACTGCCCTGCTTGGCAATTTTGCCATCTTCACAAAAGACGACAGCCCCTGGGCGTCGTCACCAGCATGCAAGTCATGCAGCCTGATTTTGCTTTCCGCGCGTCCTGCATCCTCTTTTCAATATTTTCTCGCCTTCCGTTTTCCGCGTTTTTTTCTCCGAACTACACCGCCCTGTCGCCACTCTATTTGCCCTCAGCCACTCGTATCAATATGCCAACCACAACCTCTGTTCTAGTGCTATGGGCAAGTCACGATCGGCTACCGTCGTCATCGCGTATTTGATGCAAGAGCACAACATCAGCCCATCGGAAGCTCTGTCGCACGTTCGGCAAGCGCGATCCATCTGCGAACCAAACGAGGGCTTCATGAAACAGCTCGAGCTATACGGTGAGATGCAGACACCAGAGAACGTCGAAGACACCCCGGCCTATCAGCGCTGGGTCTACCAACGCGAGATCGAGCTGAGCCGCGCGTGTGGCCAAGCTCCCGAGGCGGACAAGATCCGCTTCGAAGACGAACATGTCACCGATGAAACTTCCGGCTTCGAATTGAGATGTCGTAAATGCAGGTAAGTGGAGCTATGCGAGAGCAGATTGATGTCACCCTACTGCCTGTTGCCCCCCGTCTTGCTCAGCGCTTACAAAATTTCAGACGAGCATTAGCAACGTCAACTTATCTACTATCGCATGGGTCAGCTTCCTCCGTCAGCGATGAGACACCAGAAACTAAGAAAGCCTCTTCGCAAAACTGTTCCCACTACTTCCTAGATCCCCTGTCCTGGATGCGCCCCGAGCTCGAACAAGGCAAGTTGGAAGGCCGACTCGAGTGTCCAAAGTGTCACACCAATGTAGGCAAGTACGCCTGGCAGGGCATGCAATGTAGTTGCTCAGAGTGGGTCGTTCCCGGTATCAGCCTGGCGAAGGGTCGAATCGACGAAGCACGGAAAGCAAACTTTGGCATCCGTCGGCCACCGGGTGCATCAGGTGCGCCTCCGCTGGGGGCAGCTCAGGCAAAGGAGAACCTATGAGATGGTTGGATGAGGTTGCCACGTTCTGCTCGGCGAGATGGAAATGCGACTCGTACTTAGCGTCTTCACCGGCGGCCTGTGCCTTGATCATATACTCAAGTTGGGTACACCTCCGATCCACTCACCACTACAAGGTCGATGGTGAAGTCCTCATCCGATCGGGAATAACACTAGCCGGGCAGCGACAGACAATGAGCAGTAAGCATGATTGATCGATGGGTTGTTACCAATCGATCCAAATCCCTTTCGCGATCTCGAAACCCACGACCAGAGCATGGGTACGCCGTCCGAGGGGTATCAATGTGGTATGATCCATAGCGAATAAATTAGTGATACTATGTCATCGAAGTCCTTCACTCCACATCTCCTGATAGCTATGAGCCCAGTAACCTAGATCACGCCAAAGGTGCTTGTACCCTGATCAGTTCGCCTATCAGCTTTTTCAAACTCCGTCACTGTGACACGTGAACAATCTTTCTTGATGACATGACATGACACGCCCCTACCACAACGATGTTTCGACGACTGGTTTACTTCTAGATGTTTCCCTCTTTGGACGATGGCTCAGATGATGCTCACACCAAACGTAAGAAAACGCGCTTGAGCGCCCCCTCGTAGACATGTGCTCATCGAACTGCTGTGACATTCGTTCTGTGTAGACTCGCTGTTATGACAGCTAGTGGAAGATAAGATAAACAACTAACCCACCATTAGGGAATAGTAGAATCAATGTCGCACTGCTGCATGTTTGAGTCCACAGTCCCCCAGTATGAGCTGCCGCAGTGATGGCATGCGGATGGTCTCAAACCACAGTTGTCCGGATCACACGATCTGAGTCCTGCCCAGGCTTTCACACGACCTCTTGTAACTCAAGGCTTCCATTATAGCCTCCAAACTCTACATTAGACTTTCGTAACAACACCACAGCACAAGAATCTTCGAAATGGGCAACAGGTAAGATCGATGCAAGTATAGAAGAAGTGAAGTGTATTGATCAAAACGCCTGATATAGTCCCCCAGCCCCAAATAATGAAGAAGCTTTCTGCTTCGTATGTGCTCATAACCCGTAGGCTTGTACAAAACCCAACACCAAAAACTATAGAACACCCCAGCGCCATGCAGTAAACGACAGTAGAACAACATGAACGCCAAAGAGAAAGAGAAGAAATATGAGCAGACTGGTATCCGCGCCCAGAAGAATACAAAGAAAGGATAACGCCGGTTATCGCTCCCATGTAAACGCAAAACGGCAACGCAGTCATATATCCTGACATCTTACACAGAGCCCTCCGAGCTCGTAGAAGCAACAGCCTCACTCTCCGCACTGGAACTCCTTGTAAGCTCCTCACCGCCTTCGCCGCCCTCGAGACCCAGTCTCTCCATCTCTTCAGCAATCTCCTCGTACCACTTGCCGTGGCACTTGCGATCAACCTCACCAACCTTACTTAGCTGCTCACAGATATCCGCAACTTGGGATACAAACTCAGGTAACCCAGTAGTAGCAAGGCCTTCCGTAGCCGTACTAGCAGCTTTGACGCGCTCACCAGAGCTGCTAGCGCTAACGCGGTTGAAGATGTGTGTCTTCAGACGCTGGAAGAGGACCTTCATCACGGGGTCGGAGAGCTTGCCTGCTTCGGCTTGCGTGAGGAGACGGGTGATGGTGGAGGAGAGTTGGGAGCGTGTGGAAGGTGGCATGTTGCGGGATGACTCGAGGAGAGAGGAGATCTTGGATGGGGTGGTGGGGTCGGACATGTAGCCGTTTTCCTTCAACACGAGCCACATCTTGTTCGCTTCGGACTTCCATTGTGCGCGCACGTCGCGTTTGAGTAGATTCTTTGCTGTGAGCAGGATACCACCGATTGTTGTGATGCGCAGTGCGTCTTCGCGGATGCGGGAGATGCGTGCGCGATCTAATTCGAGGGTCTCTGGTAGCTCAGACTTTCGTAGTGGTGGTGTAGCGATTGCGAGGTCCACGAGACCACGGGCGTAGATCTTGTGTGCTGTAGGGCGGTTGATGGGATTGGCCTGGCTCCAAGGATCACGGCGGTCGGCTTCGGTGTGCATGTTAACTGCTGCACTGCGCCACCATCGGCGTGTGCGGTCGAGAGTGAGGTTGTGCTCTTCAAGATCCTGGGTGAACATACGCTGCTCGTAACCAACAGCCTCTTTGATAAGAGTTGGGGCGGCGTTCATCAACAGGAAGTTAGAGTAGTCTAGTGACAGAAGGTCGATGACATGCAAAATCTTGAAGAGCTTCTCAATCATGCTTGAAAGCTCGCCCTCTTCTTGCAGCTCCTCAGCAAGCAATTGAACCTCAGTGTCTCGGAAGGGAGCGCAAAGCTTTGGAAGAATGCTCGCAATGAAGTCGAAGAACTTCCCGTAAGAGAAGACACCCTGACTGCACTGCCTACCAACATGCTCAGGGTCTAATGTCTCCGAGATGAGTGTGTGCATCGAGTTGCCAGGCTTGAGAAGTCGCAACAGCTTGCCCCGTATGTTCTCTGCCATAGCAGCAGTCCAGTTTGTGCTGTCACCCTCTTCGAAACCTCGTCGCATCGCGTCGCAGAGCTCACGGTTGAGAGCATCGCGCAGGTCGGCCGTTGGCGAAGGATCGATACGGTAGTCTTTGTCGATGGAAAGCTCGTGGACGAGAATGCGATTATCAGGCACGACGGTAAAGACCTTGGAGAGCGACTGTGCCTGATGACCCTGAGCCGTGGAGTCCTGAATCTCAGATCGTCCAGAAGCTGCAAGCTCTGAAGCAGCCTCAGCCTGTTTGGCTGCACTATCGGCTGACAGTGGGGACTCCGGTGTTGACTCGCTCGCAACGCGCGGTCGAACAGTGTCTCCGGCGAGCCTCTTCTTCGGCCTTGACCTCCGACTTTCGCGAATGGCCTTCCTGATCAAGGTGAGAGCCTTGTCAGGACCCGCCAACTTCTTAATTCTACTAAGTAGAATAGCCTGGTTATCCCTGATACCGTTCCTGTACTCGTTGGCGACTTCATCCACCGTCGCATCCTTGACACTTTGCCAGATCTCGTCGAGGCTGACGAATGAAGCCACCATTGTCTCGACGAGCGCAGAGGAGTCGCGAGCTTTCCAGTCGTTGAAAGCGGTAACGAATGCGCTATGGGCTAGCAGTACGGTCTCGGTGCGCGTGGGGGAGGGAGTGTATGAGTTGAGCTTCGTCAGCTTAGCCAAAGCAGACTCGAAGCTGATAACCAGGTCCTTGGCTTTGGTGATGAGATCCTGTTCTTGGTCTCCGTCTCGACTGAAGACGTGTGTGGGGTGTCCCAGGATGAGGTATGAGGAGAGGAAGGTTCGGACGGCTGCGCTGCGGGAGGCTGGGTCTGCGTCGGGCAGTAGCACAAACAGTGTCATGATTCTATCTGTTGTCTTGAGTAGCTTCTCGTCTGCGAGCATGCCGGTGATGACTTCGAAGCTGGTCTCTTGGACCATCTCAATTGACAAGCCAAGTTGTAGCCATGCTGCGACGATGTTGTGCCTAACTTTACCCCTCCAAGCAGCTTGGATCCTCTTCGCAGCGTCCTCGGTCGACACGATAGGGCGCTCGGTTCGTATCTTGACGTCGGCTGGGGGTGAACTAGCAGTCCGTGGCCGTCTGGGGTTGCGCTTGTACTCCAGCCTGCGTTTCTCGGCCTCTGCAAGCTTCTCTTCCATCTCGGTGCGGTATCGTCGCTCCTCAGCGGCCTTGCGCTCCTTCATATCTTCTGCGATCTTCTTGGCTCTCCTCACTTCCTCAGCACAGGAAGCCGCGACCTGTGCCAGATGCTTCTCGCGGGCCTGCTGCGCTGCCAACGCCCTCTCTTCACTGTTCGAGCCACGTGGGGTAGCCTTGGCCAACGCAGCGCGCAGCCTGACCTGCTCAGCATGCGCGGCGCGGTCTGCTAGTCGCGCTTTGCGGTCTTCGAGTATAGAAGCACGGCGAAGGTGCTGGGCAACATGGTGGCTCTGACAGCTGTTGCGAAACGATCGATTGGACGTATGCGAGTGTGTCGATGACAGCGAGTTTCGGCGGGACGAGGTAGCCGATGACTTGCGACGATTGCTGGCATGGCGGTAGAAGCGGGCGGCGATGCGTGGTGGTGGAGCAAACGACTGGCCGTTCTCGGCGTCTGATGAGAGGATCATGTCGGGCTCCTCGGGGATGTCGTCGTTCTCCCGCTGCAGCTGCGAGCTGACCAGCTCCAGTTCGGAGTCGGTGAGGGACATGGTGTATGAATGCGACGGCCCTCTCTAGCTCAGGAGTCGCGCGAGTGTGTCGGGTCTCTTGGGCAGACAGCCGTGGAGGGCGTTTCCCAAGATGTGAAACAAAGCACGGCCTCGGTGATGCTTTTTAGTGTAACAAGCCACAAGCGGACGCAGTAAGTAATAGCGACTATCTTCGCGCAAGAGTCAAAGATGGGACAGGAACGAAAGGTGCAGATGCCCGTGGGGAGCGTGGTCACCGGACGAGTTGTATTGATGGATGATTGATAAGCTGTAGTGCCCCGAGAACGCCTGAAGGTGGGCACCGTGCGCACTGCAATGTATACACCGTCGTTATCGTAGCAGAGCAGTTGCGCGCGACGGCCTCTGTCGCATGCAGAAGAAGGTGAAATTGGTGGCTGGGGAAGGGTCCATGAATCACCTGCCTGACCGGAATACAGCATATGACGAAGTGAGGCCGCATACTGCCAAGACCTCGTAGCGGCTGAGCTGCCGAAGTTAATCGAACCGCGAAGATCCTCGATGCAATCCACGTCTCCACTCTCAGCCTTACCGACAGTGCCCGTCTCGTTCCTCGTCCAGTCGGCCTTTTTGTGCGCTAGAGACGATCGTCTGTGGTTCTCTCCGACCTGTTACCCAAGGGCAGGAGGTTCACGTCACACCAGACCTCGACATACCACCTAGGTGGTGTCTAAACTCGCATCTTGCTTGGTCGCTGACCTTTGGAAAACTCTGAAAAGACAAGGCAGGCTAGAAAGTCGTACATGCGCTATACTAATACTATATTTCAGAAACATCGCGAGGTCCTATGCGTCACAGCTGTCCCAATATTCGACGTCACGTGATATCGATTCATCGGTACCTAGGCACCTAGGCACCCGTGTATGCCTGTCCGCGATGCCTGTCGCTTCAACGCTTCCAAAAATCCGGATCCTGTTCTAATCAGAGCCGTTCCGTAACGCGTTCGTGGATTCGTTATCCAGACGCTTTATGCTGTCGACGTTGCCTTTGGGCACTTTTCGACACATCTCGTATCCCATCTCAATAATTCTGTGAACAAGTCAGTATATCGCTCTACGACTGGGCACGCCTTGGTCTTACATGCAAGTTCGTATATCTCTACTATCTTCCCCCGGCGTAGCATATGCCGAAGTTGGAGAACAGCGATCGATATGCCAACAACTGCTACCAGAAGTCCAAGCACACCAAAGACGATTGTCAGACTGAGCGAGTCTTCCTCGGGATGAGTAGCTGCGCCTACTGAAGGCTGCGTGCTGGGAAGTTCGAAGACGGGTAGTGTTGGTGTTGACACCGTGCCTGCTGACGTTATGTCCGCGATGAACATGTTTGCCGATGACAGTTGCTGTCGGAACAGTAACCGAAGGTTTTGAATTGGCTGAGGAGGATACTTTGGTAGTGGGTCGGTGTTTTTGGGATGTACTTGACTGAGTCTAAGAAGCAAGTGGGCTTGGGTATGAGGAACGAGAAGTTTAAGTAAACTCCATGTCCTCTTATGCTCATGGTGAGAAGGAAGTTGCGTACGCCACCCTGGGCATTGTACCCGCGAAGATGCGACCAAGCGCGCTCATGTTGGCAGAAAACACTCAAATCGGCCTAAAGACCACGCGAAAAGGTACGACAGCTGTCAACCGGTGTGGGATCCCCTGGTTGTAAACGTCAATTCAACCAGATACTGGGTGCGAAATGCTGCGACCGCGAATTAGAAGACATCACGTTTAGCCTTGTCTGTGCGGCGCATGCGCGGACGTTTCTACGCGTGGGAGAACTGCGATCAAGTGCGATAGACCCACCAAGAGCATCGACTTCGGTGATGTTCATGGCTAAATGTGTACGGCATCTACCAAGTTCGACAAGGGTCTGTCTGCATTTATGGCTTAGACCTTGCGAGGCTCTGCCGATGCGACCAAATGCGACTACCAATCAAGATGGCTAAAGACAGCGGCAGGCAACAAAGGGATTGAACCGTGGGCCAAGTAGGATCAGGGGCGTTTCTAGAGGCGCCAACCTATACACATATACTACACAGCCCCTCAGCAGACATGCGACAAAGTGCGACAGCCAATGGCTTATTGATCTGCTGTCTCACCAAGCCGTCAGCCACAAAGCGAGCTGCAAAAGCTCGCATCGCCAAAGCAGCATGGGTGCAAGGCGCTCCGTCGCACTTGATCGCAGAACACTTAATGCGCCTCGCTCGCACTTTATCGAGCTTCCCGATTCATTGATATGCCAAAGAGTTCTTACCGAGTATTGTCTTTTGACCAGGTGAAATCGGCTCAACACGTACGATAACCTCTGCACTCCTCCTACCTGCAACTCGACTCATTCAGGATTTCGCCCGCGCTTATCTTCACGCCAACTACTTTGATATGTTGGCCTTCAACCGTAAACGGCAAACCAGCCTTTCCGATCAGGATATACAAGCGAAACGAAGAGCCCAGAGTAACTCTCAAATGTGTGTTCAGTTGCAGAGACTGTGCTGCAATTGTGCGAAGATATTCTCGATACCTCACACCGTACTCGCTTGTACTGAGTGCGACCACACGATATGTGGAAGATGTCCTGTCAATGATCCGCTCCTTGTTAACCCACGTCTGAACCCCCAAGAGACCGTATCGAATGAGCACGAGGACATGGGTGGCAACGCTGAGGGTCTTCAAGCGCAAGAGTTCCGGCTGCAACCACAGCCGACCAAGAGGCATAAAGAGTTAGAGACAGAGGGACCGAGCAAGCGTAGCTTGAACATGAACAAATGCGAACGATGTCGTTTAGACAAAAAGAAGGTACGTTATCTCTATATTTCTATCCCCATGAGCGTAGCCTTTGGAGACAATAACGGCTCACAATCACTACGATATCTTGCGTGAACAACACCAAATGAATACTAACAAACGATACACAGTGTCTTCCTGTCGATCGGGTCTGGCCGTCAAAGTGTGAGCTCTGCAGCAAGAAAGGCTTTTCTTGTTCAGAGAGCAAGAGAGTGGTTCGCTGGACTAAGCATGTCCTCGCCCCATCACTCTCACCTACAAAAGAGACTTCTACATCAGTCACTTCCGTGTCTTTTGAAGAGCGCCTCAAGCAATGGTATGTGTGCTTTTGGAGAGAATTGAAAGCCAAGATGAGGAGATCGCGAAGTTAACATGCTTTTCGTAGGACATTCCTCTTGAGTTATCGCAAAATGATGATGAATGCTAAGAGCCAGCTTGAAGAGCTGAAGAGGGATACAATATCTGTTTTCTCCTTCAAGCACTTCGTTTCCCGAAACCACGGACTGTCGTATCATCGATTTCTAAAGCTCGTAGATGACGAACTCGACTACATTATTCACAAATGTTCAGAGGAGCTTCTCTCCCTGGATCCACCATCAAAGGAGGTTTCAGGGTGGTCTCTTATCACTTCTGTCAGTCAACTTGGATCTCGACCGGATATCCATATCGCCTGCTCCGCATGCTACCCAGCGCGTTCACAATCAAATGCCAGTGAGTTCGAAAGTTCTCAAGACACGTGTGGCAAATTACTTTTGTTACAACATCGTGGCATACGCCATGAGAATCTTGGGAATTGGCGAAGATATATGGATTTATCGCACGAAGTAGTGAGGCGAGCAGGTGCAATTTTGGGGTCATTCGGATCACATTATTTCACCAGTTATGTCACGATGATTGGCGTCTGGCATCCGGATCAAGTGATTGCTCGTTTACCCGACTCGATCGAATATCTGCGAGATTGCTTAGAGAGATCTCCGCTGCATTCTTACATTGAGCTTGCTCCTGTTAGTGGTGCTGACAGATATGGGTTCGATTTCAAGGGTGATCTATCGCGGCTAAAAGACAGGCAGGACATGCTCGGAAGAACAGCGCTGCTCATGGCATGTCAAATAAATTGGAAAGATGCTGTACAGAGGTTACTGGGAGAGCAAGCAGAGCCGGGATTGGCGACCGTATATTGCAGTCTACCTTTGCACTACGCTGCTGTTAATGGCTCCGTCGATATCTGCAAGCTATTGCTGGCACACAAGACGAGATTCAATATGAGAGCAAAAGACTGTATGGGGAGGACCGCATTGTACTGGGCGAAGGAGAAACAACATCGTGGAGTAATAGATCTGTTGTCTGCTGAATACGCAGTAGCAGATCGAGAAGAGGCGGAGCTGAGAAGAGCACGTAGCCTCGAGGTAGGCACAGTGAACTATGAGGTGCTGGAGCCCTACGATGTGTGAAGAGCGACAGTACCACGATTAGCAGATCTGGTTTGCCGGAGGGATCGCTTTCTCTTGATACTCATTAGTTCCGTGCCTACGAGAGCTACACATACGATACAAATGCACCGCTCCAAGTCTACAATAGCCATTCCAACCCCGCGCCCAAGACATCAACAAGTTTCAGCCCTGTCGCACAACATATCCCACAACATGACCAGGCTTCGAGCGGCGAGCGGGGAAGCATGAGATAAGCACCAGGATCGATCGATTAAGAGCACCTGCAGAGCCACGCTTCCTCGCCTACGCCTGCATCAACAACCAAATGCCACTGAATCCGGGGTCTCGGAACCGACATCGCTGGCGTTTTACACAACCGCCGTGTCTCGACATGTGGTGGAGGAAGGCCGAGCCATATGCCGTACCACGCCGTTCAGTGGGGGCGATGAAAAGGCGGTGCTGACACATGATCGTATTCCTAACCGCTATCACGAAGGCGATGCGGCATGTGCAGATGTTGAATATCGAAAATGGGTAGTGAAGGAGGGTCGGAAAGGCATGTGTTTGGCGACGTGTCAGATGAATAGAGTTTGGGGATGTGACTAGAGAACTCACACTGCTGCCGCTGTTGTCAGAGGTAGAACTACTGCGGTGAGGAATGTCGTGGGTTGTAATGCGATGCGGCACGAGCCGTAGCTTGTTGGCACTGCAGTAGTGAGGGCGTTGCGGCACCACGCTACTCGCTTGGGAAGATGTCAGGCCGTGTGTGGGGAAAGATAGACAT